GAACATTTAATAATAATAATAATAATAATAATAATAATAAAAAATTAAATAGCAAGCACGAAAATACAAAAGTCTAACAACTACAATAGTATTCATCATATATATCGAGACCTCAACAACTTAGTTGAATGTTATTGAACCACATAGAGATGAACAATTGAAATTCAATTTATTAAAGGCTATGTTTGGTTCATAGATTTGAGAAAGAAAATAAAAAAAATATGTTAAATATATGTAAAATGTAATTATATTTTATTTATATTTCACTTATTTTTTTTATTTCTTTTTTTAAATTTCTACTTAAATTCATGAATAACGTAATTACATAGTTTTGCAAAGACTAAGGGATAATATATTGTTCATTCACAAAATGGTTAACCAATTGTAAGAATTGTATTTGCTAGGTCAATGTGAAAATTGTGTTATAAATTGGTGTGTATAATGGAGAGGTACTGGAATTTTTATTTTATATATATATATATATATATGTGGAGATATATTTTTTGAATGACGATACGTGGCCGAGATGTCACCGGAGTGACCAGCCGAGGTGCCACGTGTCATGGTCATGATGCCGAGATAATTTCGGATAGGCCGAAGTTATCTGTGAAGATACCAGAATCCGAGATGAGCGGATAAGGAACAAAAGTCCTAGAATAAGGAAGGACTTCAGTTTGAGTAAAGATAAGACTCTTAGAGAGTTTATCCCAATCCTAATGGGAGTCCAAGATTAGCAGTAATCCTAAATCCATTGAAGTTAAGCTTCTATTGGGATTATGTTTGTACTGGCTATAAAAAAGAGGCACCTTCATGGGTCTAATGTATACTTTTTATGCTCTGTCTAATGAGCTAAGCACTATTGGTTATTTTTGAGAGATATTTTACTGACTTGATTGTCGGAGTGCCCCCAGGTGGACGAACCACCGCGGGATTCTTATCTTTTTGTGACAGGTTGTTCGGGCTTAATCTATTCTGCCAGTGTTCTCCAGCTAAGTGCTTGATTGACAATGTGGTCGGAAATTGACACACACAATTTGGCACCGTCTGTGGAAAAGAAAGGAGAATAGATGGCCAACGACGGACAAAAAGAGAAGGTTGAGGACGACACCCCTACTGGGAGCAAGAAACACATTGACCTTGACACCGAAGAAGACAACTGTAACAAAGAGACTCGTGATAAGAATCATGGAGGAAAGAACGTCGGCCAGGAGGGCGGCGTACTGAAGAAATCGGACCGGAGCGGGTATTATAACGAGGACGACCTCCAGGTATGGAAAGATAGATGCCTACGGCGGGACGACGAGATGAAGAGAATGGCGAATAAATTGGCAGACTTGCAAACGGTTGTCAATTTCCTGATGCAGAACAACATCATGCAGCCACCGTTCCTGCTACAAAATACGCCGATTCTAGCGGCCAAGAAAGGTGTCCAGAAAGGGGGGCAGAAAACGGTTCCTGTAGTCCTTCAGCATGGCAGGACCAAGAGACATTCTCACCGGCCTTCGCGGGAGGTCAGGCATGGAGAATTCAGAAGACACGTCGAACAAAAGAAACCTGCACCAAAGAACATCGGGATGTTTAGACACGACCAATGGAGAAAGGTCCAAAAGGACTCATAATGACACTGGAAGTAGTGCACCAAAGAGGGTTGGAGAATGATGCTTGGGAGTTGGAATTTACAAGTTAAGGTTGGTTTAACACTTGTTGAAATTTTATAGAAAAATTTACAAGTTGAAGTTAAGCCGAGGACATGTTTAACACTTGTTGAAATTTTATAGAAAAATTTACAAGTTGAAGTTAAACCGAGGTCATATTTAACACTTGTTGAAATTTTAAAAATTTACAAGTTGAAGTTAAATCGAGGACATGTTTAACACTTGTTGAAATTTTATAGAAAAATTTACAAGTTGAACTTAAACTGAGGACATGTTTAACACTTGTTGAAATTTTAAAAATTTACAAGTTGAAGTTAAACTGAAGACATGTTTAACACTTGTTGAAATTTTAAAAATTTACAAGTTGAAATTAAACCGAGGACATGTTTAACACTTGTTGAAATTTTAAAAATTTACAAGTTGAAGTTAAACCGGGGTCATGATTAAAGGAAGGAATGATATATGTTCCATCACCTCAGGTTGTCGAGTTAATAGAACCTAGGGGGCAGTTGTGGGAACATATTTTTTGAATGACGACACGTGGCCGAGATGTCACCGAAGTGACCAGTCGATGTGCCACATGTCATGGTCATGATGCCGAGGTAATCTCGGCTAGGCCGAGGTTATCTGCAAAGATACTGGAATTCGAGATGAGCGGATAAAGGATAAGAGTCCTAGAATGAGGAAGGACTTCAGTTTGAGTAAAAATAAAACTCTTAGAGAGTTTATCCCAATCTTACTGGGAGTCCAAGATTAGTAGTAAGCCTAAATCTATTGAAGCTAGGTTTCTATTGGGATTAGATTTGTGTTAGCTATAAAAGAGAGGTACCCTCATGGGTCTAAGTAATGTTTTTTATGCTCTGTCTAGTGAGCTAAGCACTATTGATTATCTTTGAGAGATATTTTACTGACTTGATTGTCGGAGTGCCCCCGGGTGGACGAACCACTGCTGGATTCTTATCTTTCTGTGACAGGTTGTTCGGGCATAATTTATTTTTCCAGTATTCTCCAACTGAGTGCTTGATTGGCAGTGTGGTCGGAAATTGACACACACAATATATATATATATATATAATATTTTTATAATTTGAGAGATATTTTACTGACTTGATTGTCGGAGTGCCCCCGGGTGGACGAACCACTGCTGGATTCTTATCTTTCTGTGACAGGTTGTTCGGGCATAATTTATTTTGCCAGTGTTCTCCAACTGAGTGCTTGATTGGCAGTGTGATCGGAAATTGACACACACAATATATATATATATATATAATATTTTTATAAATTACTTCAAATTGTTTTAAGTGTGTTAATCGTTCTGTATTTGTAAAATTAGCGAGTTTCTAAATATACCAACATAATTACTTTTCACTATATTAAAGTTTACACAATTTATCATCCCTGATACATACTAGAAGACAAAAAAAAAAAGTGTGATTTATAAAGAAGAGTGAAAATAACACTTTCTTAATGTTCATCCCTTGTTTCTTAATTATAAAGTAACATAATTCTAGTAGAATTAAGATATGAGTGGCTAGATAATCATAATATTCAATTCAAACACATAATCAAAACACAAAATAAGTCACAAAAAAAGAAGATTTATTCTAAATATGAATTTCTTCATAACTGAGATTAATTCCAACCTTTCATATATTTACTGCGACACATCCTTTAATCCATTCTCTATTCCTAATATAGTTTTGAAAAAAGTTAGGGATTATGAAAATGATCATGAAAGATTTATGATTCTTGGATTATCTTGATTAATGTGTGGTGCTTTATTCTGAGTGTAATTCAAAGATCACAAAATTTTCATAATTATTTTCATAAAATATTTTTCATAATACCTACCATTGTTGTATTGTTTTATGTGTTTAATTAGGTTTGCAATGGTACAAAATTTCACCATCAATTTTGCTTTTTCTATAGTAATGAAGTTTTCAGCATCATTAATTGCAGGTGGGAAGTAAAGTAGCTTGCTTGCGTAAGAGTATGGAGATTCTTGATTTCTTTATCTTTTATTAAACTTTATTGAGACTATTAAGGGTCATCTATAACCACTCAACTAACACATCAACCATTTTTCATGTGTAAAGTAATAATTTGATTTAATGCTAATGTTCAAGACATTTCAAAGAAGACAGGTAAAAAAAGTCTGAATTTCCACTCATACTTTTCAATTTCTCATTTTGATTGAATTAAATTAAAATTTTCAAAATGTTGTGGAAAAATATCACCATCTTTTGCATTGTGGAACGTTCCAACTCTTGCCACGTTGTATTCAATTTGTAAGGTTAAAAAGAAACAAAATCAATTTCATTTGATTTCATAAAATCTTTTAAATAACAATTTAAATTGCTTCACGTCTCAAAACTCAGTAATGGTAGTGATATATAACAATTCTTGGGATTCACGTACTTCCGCCTTTGTGTATAATACATGAAAGATGAGCCCATTTAAATTAATGTAGTGGTGACATAAAAAATCTATCAAAAAATAAAATAAAATATAAAAAATTGTCAACAATTTAAAATATACATTTTCTTGTGTAACTACACTTATCTAGAATGAATTTAGTCTGTAAATTTTAAATTACAAGCAATTTTTTAACTAATTAAGTTTGCTGTTGATTTTTTTGCTTTACTCTGGTTGTTGGTCTCTCACAAACTAGGAGGTTGGAGTTTAAATTAACTCCAAACTACTCTTTATTGATGTATTCTATCATACTGTGTATGTATTCATCAATAAAATTTTATCTTTGCCGATAAAAACAAAAAACAAAAAATTAGTAGCGATACAATATTACCTCTAAAACACGGTGTTTGAATTGACTTCCAATGATATAAAAAATTATACGTCAATTCTTAATTTATTTAAGAATTAATTATTGAACTTCAATACAGTATGATATTATAACTAAATTTAAAATTTATAATATTATTTGACAACCACCTTGTCATGCCACCGAGGTGGGTAATAAATCGGCCACCGGAGAATGAGACTTTGTTCGTGCCGCCTCCGGCACCACCTCCATTGAATTGTCAATTTCTTACCGACCAAAAAGAGACAAATAGAATAACGACCATCAGATAATTTTATAATGTAAAATAATTTAGCAGGAAAAAACAAAAATTAAAAAGTATATATATATTTAAAATAAAAAAAAATGTGAGAGGGGCCCACCTCATCCCAAGTGGGCAATGGAACCATGTGCGATCATATGGTGGTTGGGCCTTGGTAGCCCCCACAAAACTCACTTTTCACCTCTCCAAACCCACAAATACTGAAAATGAAACATCCTTACTTATAATTCATTCATTCAATTATAAAATAATTCACATTAAAAAAAGATTGATTCCCCAACTCTCCCTCCTCCTCCTCTCTCTCTCTCCTCACCGCCCATTCTCAATCCCTTCTCTCTCTCTTCTTTTTTTTTTCTCATTCTCTTCACACATTTGTTCTGACAATTCCCTCTCTCTGTCTCTCTGTTTGGTTTAAGATAGATAGATATTGTGTCAGAAATCAGAACTGAAGTTTCCTTTTGTCCTTCTGAGCAAGGAGGCCCCTTTGTGTCAGAAGAAAATCTTGGTGTCCAACTCTTGTTTCTCTTTCATTCCATCACAAACCCTTCATCTATATATACACACACACACACCCAACTCTCCAAAACCCTAAATTTTGCTCTCACTCTCTTACTTTCTCCATATACCCTCTCTTCAGCCCTTCATGACTCCTCAGCCCTTACTCATGAAACCTAATTCTATCAAAACTAGGTTTGCTTATGGGTTTCTAAGAGCCCTAAACAGTCTGAACAAGAACAAACCCTCTTCACCATCGTCTCCAAAAGTGATTTTTCGACGATGTCGGATGATAAAACTGGCTGCTGATGCATCCATGGCTTCTGCAGTTGGATCAAGGAGGGCTTGGAGCCGGGCTGTGCTTTGCAAAATTCGATGCCAGCGTGCCTTGGCGATGAGAGGAAGAATAAGATCTGGTGGCTTCAGAAGGAGATCAGGTGCTGGAAAAGGGTTTGGTGTTGGCCAAACCGATGGGCTCAGAAAGCTCGTACCGGGCGGTGGAGCCATGGATTTGTGCTGCTTGTTGGATGAAACTGCACACTACATCAAGTGCCTTACCACCCAGGTACAGGTCATGAGAAATATTGTTGATATTTGCTCTACTTGAGTCTTCTGTAATTGCCTTGTGTTGTTATATAGATAAATACAATACAAATAAATCCAATCCACAGAGAGAGAGAGAGAGAGAGGAGGGGGGGGGGGAGGGGGTTATCACGGATGTAATTTACAGTTTCTGGCAAGAGATAGCTTGAAGAGAAACTTGGGTTTTTTATTTGCAGAAGTAGAGAAGTAAAATAGCCATGACCCATGTACCAATGTAAATTATACAGATATGTGGCTTTTATTGCCTGTGTGTACATACAGAGCTGGTTTGTAATTCTACACTTTTACTATCTTGTCACAATTTGCTTGCTTTTTCTTGATTCCTTTCACTCGATCCATTATTCAGGAAGACCTGAGCTGACTTTCGGCCTAGTGTTGCAGGTTCAAAGAGGAGGCATGGTTTTAAATATCTACCGATAGATATTGAGATTTTAAACTTTTGATCTGTCAAAATGACTATGACGGTATTATCGATACTGAAATATATTATTTAAAATCATAGTAGAAGGCGTTCTTAAGGTAATTCATATATGATCTTTGAATTAGAAGATTGGAAAGATTAAAAAAAAAAATTAAAAGATGAAGAAGAAGAAGTTCCTGTCATGGATGGAGGTGAATAGGTCCAAAGAAGACATAATTATGTGGATGTTTTTTGAGGATGTCTTGAGTGTTGACCATACACATGCTTCTACAGTTGTAGCCTTTTGGGTTTGTCATCCATCTGTCTGGAATCACTAACCAATTGATTCTATTCTTCACATAACTTTCTCATCAATAATAGTCTTCTCTCATGGTGTACAGTTCCTTTTAGTTTGAAAAGAGCTAAATGCTCTAAATTTTGTTTTGTAGTTTTCATTTTTAAAAAATAAAAAGGGGTCTGAAATTCTGCATTACCATATTTTAGGATAAAATCCCATTAATTGAGAATAATCTTTTTATTTTACAGCCAATTTTTGATATTCATGCAAAGAATATCAAGTAATTAATATAACTTATATAGATATTTTTATTTCTTTCTTTTTACTTTTCATCATCTTTTTTTTTTAAATTTTTTTTTTGGGTCACAGTTCTTCTTGATAAATTGTGGCAAAAACTAGATAATGTTAAGAGCTATTTTCTGTATAAATTAAATCTATAGAGATATAAAAAGTTGTTATTGTTGGAACTTTCTAAATATTAGTGATATCCTTTTGCCATGCAAAGCTATCATATACAGTTGTTTTTTGCATTAGGTTTTAAATATAGGTTGGACACATATCAATATTTAAAATTTTTTGTATCTATATTCACAGATATATGGACTATTATTGTCTGTATCACTGTATCACTAGCACTAATTTTGTTATCCAAACCATGTGCCCTTCACTTTCATTAATACAATTATGTATATATTAAAGAAAATAGTATCATATATAAGCAAATTATCTAACCGCAGCCACAGATATTCAAATTTAAATCTCTTCAATTAAGAGAGCCTTACTGAGGTACAAGAGGAATAGACTGACAATTTTGATGTCTCCCCTGTGATTAGATGAAGAACCCTTTTACCTTTTTTCTTGTAGAAGATTGATACAAAGTCAATTTTCTCAAAATTAAACTTTTTAGTGGGAAAAAAAGTAGGAATCAACTTGAATGATTCATAGTGCCAAAGGAAGAAAAACTAGTTTTTCGAAATATATTCTGTTATAAATGAATTGACATAGGCACTGAAACAATGTCATGACAGGTTTTATGTCGATATATTAAGTTGGTGTCGTATCAATAGCTCTACATGTGAAGGCACCAATTGATTGTGTTCAGAGGCGGCGCCACATACATTTCAGTGTGTTAAAAAACACTCTAAAAAAATTACTATATAAGAATATATATATCTATATATACTTAGAATAAACTGAAATAGGAATAGTAACTATGTATAGAATAGAGTGTATTTAGAGTAAAATAAGGTAAGAATAAGGGCTCCCTATATATATATATATATCTTGAATTGGCAAGTGTCCCTTCCAGAAAAGCGAAAAGAGAAAACTTGGGTTCTAGTATGAACACCTTTTAGTGTCTTCTTTGGTACTTTTTGATATGCCGAACTGTGTTTAAAATGTTTTTCAATTATTCGGAGACTTGTTGATCTTTGTGTTTCTCATAGAATATTACAAATGTCTATATTGTGGGGAATTTTATTTTTTTTTATAATTGGGTATCTGAGCTAGCATACGTATATCTCGATCAATGTTGAAGATGTATTTTGAGCTCGATTGTAGTGTCTATTTTTATAAATAAATTTTTTATTTGTCAAAAAATGTTTATTTGCATTGATTTAGAATCCATCAAATTGAGTTTATCATTTGCTTTTTTTATTATTTCTACCATTATGGATAAAATTTTTGAAATATTTTATTTTTCAAATTTATTTTTGATAAGTTTGATTTCTTCTATATAATTTTAAAATTTTTAAATGTTTACCCTAAAAAATAGAGGCAATCACACCCTAGTGGAACTCCCAAAAAAATAAAATAAAAATACATAATCATGAAAAGTTTACATTTTTAATTATTAATATTTATAAAATTTATCACTTATTTATAATTATTTTTTGGGAGGCTTATTTATAAGTCTTATTTTGGGCACTTATGCTATGTTGAGTTCTGTGTAATTTCTTATAGAGTTTCAAGTCCTATTTAGAGCATCTCCAACCGTGAATCAAAAATTTCACCAATTCTGAGTTCAAAAATGGCTATTTCCTGAATTTGATACTTCAGGCTCCAACGGTTCACCTTCACCAAATCTATCCCGGGACAACCGGGTGGTCGACCGGCCGGTTGACCGGCCGGTTGACCGGTTAGGCCAAAAAAATTTTTTTTTTTTTTTTTTTTTTTTGGATTTTTTTGACTTTTTTTTTAATTTATTGTTAAAAGACATACAAAAAAAAAAATAAAAATAGAGAAATGATATAATAGAAATAAACCAATAAGTAATTTATTTTTTTTTTTTAACGGTTTGAACTTTTTTTCCTGAACTGTTTGAATCTTTTACTGGTTGACCGGTTGGTCAACCGGCCGGGCAACCGGTTGGTCGACCGGTGTAGCATTTTCAACGGTCAGTAACAGTGATTTGGTAAAATCTGTGTCTTGATCTTAGTTTGATGTCTTGTTTGCTGAATTCTCATTTTGGTATGACTTTGGTGCAACCGTTGGAGCGTGAAAAAGTGGATTTTTCATCAAAATTTAAATCTGATGCTGGGTTTGGTTCAGCGTTGGAGATGGTCTTAGATAGGAATGTATTCCACAAGATCTTATTTGCGAAACGTAACGTGACACGTTACGTTACGTTTATGTAGGTATTACGTTACGTTTATATAGGTGTCACGTTACGTTACGTTTATGTAGGTGTCATGTCACGTTTATTTAATGTCTCATTTGATATGATCACGTTACGTTACATTTATGTAGGTGTCACGTTATGTTTCGCAAACTTAATCTAAGAAATTGAATGTTACTATAGATCATATCTATATAAATGTGAATTTCAAAATACACGAACAAGTAACATTTTCACATTCAATTTAAAAAATTAAAAACCTAGTAAGTTTGCGAAACGGAACGTGACACGTTACGTTACGTTTATGTAGGTGTCACATTACGTTTCGCAAACTTAATCTATAGTCACATTCAATTTCCTATATATGGTTTTACCATTATTTATGATATTAACAACTAATATTGAGGGTAAATGTGTCAACAAACTTCACACAGGACTTATAGGACCATAAATTTTTTAGTGGAACCACATGTAACATAAGTCTTCATAATAGGACTTATAAATAATTTTTCCTTACTTTTTCAAAGCCTACTGATGTGACATTTCCCAAATATATATATATATGTAATATACTTTTTCTTTCTGTAAATGTCATGACATGCATGAATGTTTTATCTAGCTGAATTTCATACTCCTGTGACAAGAAGTTCTTAAATACTTTGAACTTTGGTACAAAGATATGGGAGGTGTAAATATGATAAGCTCTTATTATATATATATATATATATATATTGTAAGTTTTCTTCCCTAGATATAGGTACGATATTCATATCAGAAGCTTATGAGTTATTGCAGAAAGATTTATTTTCAGAAAATGCATTTAGTTTGAGAGAATTTTATATTGACAACACAACTCGTCTAGGCAAAAATGAACAAGGCACATTTGTCAATTATTATATTCAAATCCTTAGAAATATCAGCAAGGAGGCAATTGTTTTGATTTTGGAGAGCTTCCAAACTAGCATTTATATTACTGAAAATTTCTCTATCTATTAATGGGATTCATTGCATTAGGAACGCAGATCCCGAGTGCTTGCGAGCTTTTTTTTTTTTGTTTTCTTGGGATGAATTGACACACTCAGATTTTGATTTTTTTTTTCTTTATATTTTTCTCTCATTAATTAGTTTGGTACTGCATAAGGTGCCTGATAGAGATCCTCCAAATGTTGGCCTAAAATATGTGTTTTACCAACACGAATTTCTTAAGTTTTTCTCACAAGCTCAACTACATGACAATTCATTTTGATTAGATAAAAAGGCAAATTTCACTTTACCAACATGTGGTTTGGGTCATGTTCTAATGCCATATTCTAATGGTTTGAGTAAATGATGACCATTAGAATATGACATACTGTCGTCCTCATCATAATATTGCTTCTAGTTTCTTTCCTTGAAGAGCTTTGAGATGACACTTGTGCTGGAAAAAAGTAATTTGAAGTTTTCAAAATATTAACAAGTTTAAAAGTATATGGAAGATATGTTGTGAAGTGTTGATGAGTATCTAGATGACTCAATTAGGTTTTTGACATTTACTATTAAGTGAGTCTAAAATAATCACAGTGTATGTATAAATAGGTGTCATGAGTTGAGAAGAGAAGAAAAAAAGCCTCTAAGAGTGAGGAAGAAAACACCCTTAAACAAAAGCGTGTAAAATGATTTTAAGTCCCCCGAGTGAAAGGGTGAGGAAGAAGTCTCTATGAGCGACTAAGAAACTGCTACTTGATGTTATTTCTTTATGTAAGTATCAAACATTTAAAATTCCAACAACTTGACGTTGCTCTATGTACTAATTGACCCGCCTCTCTTTTGTTGCATTTCACTATTTTTGGAAGAACCTGGCATACACGAGTAAGCAAGCGTGTTATATCACTATTTTTGGAGTCTTCTGTCTCCAAATCTCTCATATAATCACAGTAGGACCCTATTCATATGTTTCAACAAGCTTAATAATGTTATGTACAACAATTATAAATGACCTATTTCAAGGCATTGACTGAGGAACTAGAA